TTGTTCAAAGCAATAGAGGTGAGGTTATCAATGCATCACATTTGTATTGCAAAGATTTAAATGATATGTTGAAAGAAACAAATCCAATTTCTTTTGTTTCTTTTTAATTGTTGATTGCACTCAAATCATCGTACACACGACTCGTCCAAATACACTTTCTAATATTTCTTCCCTTCAAATCCGGTTCAATTTTTTGTTTATAATTTGTAAAATGTACATACACTACGATGAGATTTTGGTTTCAGTTATGGCCTATACCAAGCCCTTAATCTCGATCAATATAATTTAGTTGCAATAGAATCAGCCTGCCTCGTTTGGTCCAAGATAAGGGTTAAAAGAAACAAACAAGTGTTACTCTTTTTTTTCCATGCTTACAAATCCAAACACAACATAAAAAGACACAAACAAAAGCGTCCTAGAGAGAGAACCCTTTTGTTTGCCTATTATAAGGAAGGTCAAATACACCCTAACATACATTTGCCAAGACAACAAAATAAAATAAAATAGGCTCACCTTGAGCCATGGTTGTATCTTCTCCGGTCTGGACTCTCATAAAGAGAGTATGACCGATCTCTCCTTGACTTTTCTCCACGATGTGGTGGTGAATAGTCATGCCTTCCTCTTAAAGGAGACTGTCTTGGTGACCCTGGTGTGGGAGTTCTTGGGCGCTTTCTCCGCGACTGTAGAAAACAGAGTATCAAAGTCTATTAACAAAAACGCGATAATGATAATTTCAAGCTCAACAAAGAAAAAAACAGCATATGTTCAAGAACCATAATTGGTACATTTTCACCAGGCGCATTTTTATCGAAATGAAAAAGCAAAGATAAGATGATAAAATGCAATCGGTGAGTACGCAAAAAAGCTTGCAATACCATAAAACCCTTCACTAAAAGTTGTTGGTAATGCCCGTTGATTAGTTGAGAGTTGTATAGATGTTGGGGTTGGGCAATATATGATTAGTTGATCATGATCATTTGGAAAAGCTGTTTAAGCTTGGGCCACTGATCAAGCTGTGTTAAGGATGATGAACTCGTCATCTTTTGGTTGTTGAAGCAATACATTTTCTGAATAGCCATAAACAATCATGATATCAAAATCATAGTATATTGCAACTAAACTACAGTAAGTGAGATTTTACCCTTTCAACAGTTATATATCTGCCCTCCAGAACAGACTGGTTGAGGTACTTGATGCAGCGGTCAGCATCTTCATAGCTATCCATTGTAACAAAGGCAAAACCACGAGACACACGAGTTCGGGGCTCCACCACAAGAAAGCACGAAGCAACCTATGAGAAGAGAAAGCTGCAAATCATTAACAAAGTTTAACGTAATACGAGGTAGAAAGAGGATCAGCTTAGACATAATTACCTTTCCCTCCTTGGAGAAATGGCCTTCAAGCTCCCTTTCTGTGACCCTTGTAGATAGGCTAGTCACATAAAGAGTATTTCCAGGGTTTTTGGTTTCAGTCCTACCACGAAAATACATTAAGTTAAAAGATAACCAAACATTAGAAACAATCAATCTAATTACAGAAACAATGGAAATTGTAATGAAAAAAAATAAAGTAATAACTAACCTTCCACGGCTTCGTGACCTTGACCTAGAAAGGATAGTTCACCAAAGTAAGATTATCTTGCAAGCGTATAAAGAGTGTTCTTAATGAAATGCTAAAGTAAACACAAAAATGACACAACAACTAACCTTCCACGACTTCTTGATCTTAATATAGGCCTTGGGAC